CTGGGCTTCTAGTAAAACACTTGAACTCTGTTGAAACCAGACCTAACTGATCTGCTGCATCGGACAGCTCAGCAGTACCAGCCCAGTTCCTGCAGCTTCAGCACAAAATCTCATCTTCTTGTCCCAGCTGTGCTCTCTGCCATGAGAGGCTGGCTCCAGCTCCTGCCTCTTTTTTTTTTTTTTTTAAAAAAACCCACATTTACACAGGTGCAAAAGGAGTCAGATCCAAAAAGCAGCCCATTTCCAAGTGCCCAAAGCAATACTGCTGGAGCTACGGCTGTACCAAATAGGTGTGCCTAGCGTTTCAGTGCTGAAGAGAGGATTTTACAGTCACTTTAGAGGCTTTAGGATTCTCACTTCAGCACAAAGAATAGAAGCAAAGACATTCTGTGTCAGAGCCATTATAAAACAGCAATGCTGGAATCATTTGTGGGTGAGAAAGAAGCTGTTTCACACTGTACTTCACTTTTTTAATGCACCAACACTGTAATGGTCACAGAACAAGAGACTGCAGCTCATGTGCCCAGGCACAGCAGAAATCTCACTCTAGTCTCAAGTTTGATTTGAAGAGTCACAACCTTGAGTCACTTGAACAACTGAAGAGGCTTTAATTTATGTACAGTAAAAATACAAACAAACCAGTCAGTGGTTTTACATTTGATTAACAGTAGTTACTACACACTTTAGTACTTGTACAGCTGTTTGCTACTTAAGATGTATCAGTACTTTGCATTACACAGAACAGCTGAAGGCTCCAGGGCTGCCGATCTCACAGCCATACACCTACTACATAACTAACGTGTGTCCTGGCCCCCAGCTGCTACACTACAACATGCAGGAGCCCCAGTTTTAAAAGCTAGAGAAGGGTGATGGTAAGCTTTAATATAACACAACCAGAGCAGGCAGATTCATTTTTAGCCAGTTGTCTGGTACGGAATCAGGTGCACACAAGCGTCAGCTGTCTCCAACTTTCACAGAGCTGCTCCCAGCAAGAATTATTCCTATTACATGTCCAAAATGAAACGTTCATTCTTTCCAAGAAGCCTGAATCTCCTTCTGAAGTTTTATAATGCAGAAAAGCACCAAAAAAGCTTTCTGTGAATAAACATACTGGGTAATAAGTGGGGACAATTGCAGCATCCTCTCACCCACCTCCGATTTCTACTTTTAGTTACCCACTTTCTGCTGCACTGAACTCTGAGTGACATGGCAATCCTCTTTCTAAAGCCCTTTGGCTCTTTAAGGTCTGTGATGTTCAGGAAGTAGAACACGCATCAGCCATGAGAATCCTAACCCTGTGTGATGGGTGAGAGCACAGGACTGACGTCTACTTCGAGAGCTCAAAGCTAACAAGTGTCTCGTCAGGCAAGGCATAGAAAGACAGGTTTCAATGGCAGCCAAAAGTCCTAAAGCAAATCTCAGGATGAGGAACAATATCCTGTCCCTATTGGAGAGAATCGCAGTCCACAGGGAAAAAAGGAAGAGGCCATCCACCTCAACACAGAGGCCTATAGAGCAGCAACTATTTTTCCAAAGGAACACACTGGGTCTAATGAACCCTGGTAAGTAACTGCCCATAACACGCACATCAGCCACACAGCACTTCTGTTCTAGGATGGAGGTTGCTTCTAGCAAGCGTAAACCCACTTGCTTTGGGTTAGGAACAGAACTGACATGATAGACAGGCACAGGCTGCCAAGTATGCGCTGTCAACTCTGCCTTGTTCCCCAGGTGCAACGAGGGGATGGGGCCCTAAAGGGATTCAGATCAGCTTTCCTAGCTCTGGAACATTTAATGGCACAATTCAGACAACATGGAATGAATTACATTCAAATGAGCATACAAAGTTTAAACAACATGACACAGCAGCTTTCACAAGGGACTGCTTGGCCAGACCATTAATTAGTATTACGGAACATTCGCAGAAGTGCTCAGGAATGGCGGAGGGCCGTGCCCTGGTCTCACTGAACAACATCCCTCTCCCTGCCCCCAGAATACTCCTGTGTGCCTTTACTGCTCTGAAACATGGTAAATAGGCTACTAGACCTGAGTGAGCGGCAAGAACTTCTGGTAATAGCTCTTTGTAACATCAATCATGAGTTCCTGGGTACATTCCGGGAGCTCCCCAGAGAAGAGTCCTGGAAGAAGAACAAGAGTATGACCATCAGCGTTCTTGCACGAGAAAGCAGAAGTAAGCTTATTTTCAACATCCAAAGCAGTGACTTTGAACTGTAAGTAAATACCAATAGACCAGCAAAGGGCTCTTCTCTCAAGCCAAGCAATACAGCAAGATCGTTCCCATAGCACCCTGGGACAGATTGCTGCAGCTGGGCCCATAACAGCTTCTGCTGTTCCCCATAAAACTCCTATCAGAAGATAAACGACAGAGTGTGCAATTTGTAGAGCAAGATCTCCAGCACAGCCAGGCTGATGGGCTGGAACTAAACATTCATATACCTCAGCTCATACCTCTCCTTTAACATATGAATAACAAGCAAGTGGACTTCCTACTGTTTGAACCACCAAAACACCTGCAAAGCCAGAAACCGCCAAAGAAGGAGTAGTGCTCACTCTGCCAGAGCCTAATGGCCGCTGAATTCTAGATGCCTGAAAAGCTGTGTTGTTTACTGTACAGGACAGACACAGCTGGTGTACATTTTGCCATCCTAGTAATACTATTCTGAGTAAACACATACCAACTACCTAACATACACTAAAGCAGCGAGTTTCACAAGTTAATTGTTACTTTTCAGTTCACCAAGTGCCCTATACCTTTACGTCTAGGCCAACAGGCATCTTTGTCATAGCAATCTCATCTTAAAATAAGAATATCCACGTTATCTGTGCAAGTAAATTTACAGGGAGCATACCTGGGCAGCCCGAGAAGACTGTGAAAGGTGGGACTACTGTTTCAGGAGGTAGTACTGTGTTGTCTAAGATTTTGCAGCAGTCTTTCAAAACACATCTACGACCCTAAAACAGAGATTAGGTAAAGTTTATACTTAAAAAAAACTACATGCTTTTGCTTATTCCTGATAAGTTACCTGAACGTCAACAAATTTAGCCGCTCAAAACACAATCTGTATAAGGGATCATGGGAATAAATCTTTACCCTGACTGAATGCTCTTCCCAACATAACTCATTTTTTCTTTTTCTGAAGAAGAAAAGTCTGTTTGCTTTTGACTAACACATGTATGGACAGGTGCACATTAACACATGTCGATGCGTAAACTGGAACCTAGAACTCGAGTCATGCAGGCCCTTCTCCAACTCAGAGACAGCAACCTTGACTATTTTGTGTTATTCACGTAGAAACAATTCCACTTGTCCTCTGTGGGAAGACTGTCTTTCCTGGACAGTCCCATTAGCCACAATATTGTTGGGATGGATTTTCCAAACAATGGTCAGCTGAACCTGCCATCCTCAAAATAACAAAACTGAAAACACCACTTTCTGTGGAGAAGGAAAAGGAGGAGAAAGGAACAGCACAGAGTAAATATGCTTGCTCCAGCTGGAGCGGATTCCTTTCCACCATTGTTACAAAGCCTCAATAATACTCAAGAGTTTAAAGAAAAGACTGAGAAACAGCACTCACAATGACACAGTTCTTGCCTATGTGGACATAGGAGCCGATCTGGGCTGCGTTGACAACACAGTCCTCTTCTATGAAGACATGATCACCAATGTGTAGAGGGAAAAAAGCCACCCTGTGACAGGAGAGTTGTTTCTTCAGGTGTACAATGTACAGACTGATCTGCAACACTGTTAGACCCAAAATCACACTGTGGAGTCTCCCATCTCCAGCTGCGTTACCAGAGGGAGGTCTGATACTAAGGAAGACTAAAAAGCGACTGGTCTTTTCTGATGTCCTTCTAAAGGATGGCCCAAAGAACAAGTGAAACACATTCTTCACTCCACTATTTTAATACATCCCAGCCTTTCCATAGGGTAGTCTGAAGAGAATGCTAACCCTCAAGGCAAAGCTTAAAGTTTCAGGAAAAGGCAGGTTTAGAGGGACATATTTCTGCAAATTGCTGCAAAAGGAAGACAGCCATCTGAATACAGATCTCTGCCACGCAGATATATATTTTTTGTAGGTAAATATATTTTAACTTCAGTCTCCCTAAAGGAAAGGGAGCTCTTACCCCTTACTAAACTTCTTGAAGGGTGGTCTAATGACACTGCGGCTTTTCACCACACAGTGTCGTCCAACCCGTACGTTTGCCAGGTCACCACGGATGATGCAGTCATTCATAACTATTGTCTGGAGAAGAAAATAGAGATAAACGAGCTCAACTTTCTGCCCACATTACCAGTTATTATGCAGACTCGTGCAGAGGTCAGGCCACTCCAGTGAGATTACGTTACCTTACAGAGGATTCTTTTAGTCAAAAGAAATGCGATAACAAAGCAAATGACACAGGAGCTTGGAACCACTAGCTGTGCTCCCATGGTGTCAATGAGCTGCACAAAGCGAGCCAATACACAAAGCAAGGCTTAAACACAAGCAGAAACGCGTTGTTGCGTGGATAAAAGCACCACGATCTGCACACCCACAGAGGAAGCTCCGTTTGTGTTCCCAGAGAGCTGAGCTCCGGTCCCAGGGGGCCGACGGCGGTTGTCAGCGGGTAGCAGAGCAGCACGGGTGCTGCTGCGGTGGTGACAGGGACCCCGCGGCTCGGCCGCGCTCCCCTCCCACCCAGCTGCTGGGTCGGAGGGGATACCGGGACGGGACGGGGGGATACCGCAACCCTCTCCCCGCCGCCTACCTTGCCGTTGAGAACGATGTTCTGGCTGCCGCACAGCACGGACTGCCGGCTCACCTTATTGCCGGACGCCTGCGGGGAGAAGGGACGGGTCACTGCGGCCGCTCGGAGC